CCTCTCCACACTCCAAAAAGGTAATGTTCTCTACAAGTCACTGGAGCTGAGTGGGCAGCACATTATGGGGGAGACTGGACAGGGGCTCTGAATATCTGGGTTCCAGTACTTGGTTTTATGACGGACTATGTGACCTCCTAGAGCAACTCATTCTCCGTGCCTTGGTTCCCTGGCTGTGAAGTGGGGATAATATGTCCCTTCCTCACAGCGTAGCTAAACTAACATTTGTGAAGGGCTCAGTCCTTATGACAATAGGGACACAAATACGAGGAATATGGTGTGAACGGTGATCCAACATTCAAAATGTCTTTTGAGTTAAAAGCTTTCAGAGGAGTTCAAATGTGGGGAGGGAATGATTGAGAGAGTCACAAGGAGAAGCAAGTCGTGTTCCAGAAGCACTTGCAGTTCACCTCTGTAAAGATGAAACAAATAACATAAGCAAGGTCACTAGTATGAAGGCAGGTACTGCCATGTACGTTCACATGGGGCTTTTAAAGTGTATTTACAAAACACTGTCGATTCTAGAGCTTACTGTAGCTCTGCTATTCCATTTTAGTAGATTTTCCTAATGATCTGTACCATACCACGAAATGGATAGAAATAATTTTGTTTGATTTTTGTATTGTATTTGCATCTTTCCAATAGGTATGGTGATTATCCCAAACTTCCTGACCGATCTTCTCATGAGAAAGACCCCTGGTATCAGTGGGACTACCCGGGTGCAAGACGAAACTGGGGAGAGACGGTAGGGATTGTGGCTCTTTTTGCATGTAACCTGCTATTTTAGTGCTGTTTCTATTGAGCATTAAATGTTCAACTAGAATAATATTTATGTCATGCTTTACCCCCTCACACCTTGCAAAGGGAATCTTAGGGCAAGGAAATCAGGGTAAATCCCTATTCTGCCCATTCCTTCCTTCCAAAAATAGGCCAAAAGATTTTCAGTGTCTCTGCAGATGAGATAGGGCTGTTGCTATCTTAAAGCTTCATGCACGCATACCACAAGGAACTCTATAGTATCTTCCATAGGAAGGTGAAGGGCTGAGTCAACCATGCTGGGATTTGAACATATATCAGAAAGCCTAATGGCGTCTGCTCTGATGTCTACATCATCTTTTCTGCTTGATCACAGACATTCACACGCATCCTTTTAGCCAGGGAGTGTGGCCACTGCTAGCTCCGATTCTGAGGTTGTTTTTCAATAGAATAGGTGCTGAGTGGCCTTTTCCCTTAAAACTGCTTGAAACCTGCTTTTTTAGTGTCAAAAAAGATATTTACAGAGTGCCAATGACTAATAACGCTTTCCGGTAAGAATGTGGGGTTTCTGTAGGTGATTGACACCAAACCATAATTATTTCCCTTGGTTGGTGACACAGTTGTCCCTTGGCAATAGAACTAGAGGGAAAACAAACTTTTATGTGTGCATTGGAGGGTGCCTGGCTGAAAAAACTGCTTACAGCGGAGGGATGACCAAAAGTAACTCAACTCAGTGTTTGTGCCCTGTAGGAAAGCTGCATCTTGAATTTATATTGAGTAGTGACCTAATCTGTCTCAGTAGGCTCTCTTGTGGCAAGGAGCATAGGTGCTGTATGGGAAGACTTGGGAGTGTCAGCTTAGCTTTTAAGCTTGTAAAAACAATGGTGCATGAAAAGGTTGTAGCTTGGCGCTCTCTACAGCTGAGGAGCTTTGTATTGATGTTTGTTATCCCTGAGGTGAGGTGCGGTTGTGGTAATTTCCCGTTGCACGTACTGCCTCTTCGTCACAGTGCAGCACAAGTACTTTCAGTGAGAAGTGTTGAAAACGGTCAAAACTGCCCTCTTTGCTCATAAGAGAGGGATTTGTTTGTAATGGAGAGAGTCTGGATCCCCTGCTTTTAGAACAGAGAGCTATGCAGTCCAGCCCACCATCAGCCGCCATGGGCAGGAAGGAACTGAAAAGTAAAGAGCATGTATGATCAGAAACATCGAGTCCCCTGCATTTTGGTTATGTATTCTTCTTAGCTGCTCATGCTTAGGATGCTTGACTTGTAGCTTCTGAGGTGAGTCCCTTGTGAACGAGACACCAAAATGCATCTGTTCAAGCAGATGTATTCAATCTGTAGAGATCACAGGATAACTCCCATCCCATCCTTAATCTGTTAAAGCCAAATAACGGTGCCAAGAGCTTAATAGACACGCGTGCAGGTAAGGGACCTGTTCCCAAGAAGCAGGGAATCACTTGGTGTTCTAACTCCACGCATCAGCAGGTTCCCGGGATGCCAGGATCTCCCCACAAACCACTGTACCAATTCCTACTGTGCCTTCTGTGAAGCACCGTGAGAACAGAAGAGGGTCTGAGCTGCAGTTAAAATGTGTGGGGGTGGACAAAGTTGGTTTCCTGGTGTTTTTAAAAAATAGACAAATATGAAGTAAAATGTTGACTAGCAAGCTCCTGAGTTCTGTCCTTGACCCCACCAGCTCCCCATGACCCTTGGACCAGTCACTGAACTTCTCTGTGATTGTACCCTCGTGTGTGAAATGGGATACAATTTTCCTTGTGGTAACATGGTGCCTGGCTGCAAACTGCATTATGTTGTGTAGACGAGGAGCCAGGGGATTCTAGAGCGCTTCTGGGATGATCTCGCCAAGCCTCTCCTTGTGTTATTTAGATGCACTGGCATCATGACATGTATCTCCGGACCCGTGTTGACACATCCCCCACTATGATCTCCTGGCACACCATGCGCAATCACTTCCTCCTCTTTCTTGGCTTCATGCTGTTCATGTTTGGTATGGGAGAAATATACCCGTCTTACATGCCTGTGGTGAGTAAAGACGTGGGGGCTGGGGAAGAGGGCTGTTGCTGCATGCCCCTGCCACATGCCAAGAGCAATGACCTCTTGAGATGTGAATCCCCTACTGCGCAAGTGGTGTGAATGTGGGCAAGTCACTTAGGCCCAGGGCCTCCACAGTACTTGCGCACAAAGCTCCTGTAGAAGTCCATGCGAATTGGATGCTAAAATACCTTTTGAGCTGTTGGCCTCAATATCTCAGTGCCCCCTTCTGTAATAGTGGGAGAACGTTTGCTTCGTGGTGGTGCTGTGAGGATTGCACAGGACACTGAAGGCATGAAACAATCTGAATGGGGAGTGTTTGCCCACCGATTTTCCAAGGTATTTGTTTGAATGTGCTGAGTTTGCTGCCTCTCACAGCTGTGTTCCTCTGCAGGGACCGAAGCAGTACCCTTATAATAACCTCTACCTGGAGCGAGGGGGCGATCCCAGCAAAGAGCCCCCCGAGGTGAAGAACTATGAAATCTGAAAGGCACGTGGAAATAGAGCTCCTCTCCTGAGACACTTCTCTTGGGGGCCCTCCGCAGTGTTCCGTGCAGGATGCACTGGCCACTTCTCTTAGGCATTTACTCTTCATGAAATATATTGTGAAAACACATGTGGTGAATTTCCTTTCTTTGGAGGGGCTATAAAGGGGGCGGTGAAGTTACTGAGCAGGGGCAGAATTCCTTTGAGTACGTGATGGCACTTCAGGAAGAAGTTCCAGGGTGTTGATATTTATGCATCTGTGTATTGTGGGCACTGGAATTCTTATGTAAATCTGATTGTGATTTGTGTGGGCCACAGTGCCAGCCACCAAGCTCATCCTTGCAGTTGCTGGAAGGAGAAGAAAGTAAAATAGAATTCTGCTGTGTGTTCAAGGATAGACTCGACTCCTTTGGGTTATTCTGCTCTGTCATGATCCACCTACATATTTCAATGTACTTTCTCATTGGGTTGCCGCCTTTCCCCAGGTTACAACCACAATAAAAGTGTGAGTTGCCTTATGTACTTGTGGCTTGGGATCACAGAAGAACCTAGCCTTTGAAGGAATATACCTCAGGTTAGATAGTTTATCCCTCACCCAGGGCAAAACCTACCTCTAATCTTCTTATACCTGGTTGTGAACTGTAGTGCAGCTTCTCCCAGTCTGCCACTTGAATTCAGGAGTGCCCCACTTCCTCTAGCTGTGTTATTCTGAGTTCAACAATTCTTCTCCAATGCTGTGAAGGGTTTAAGGAGTGTATGTAGTAGCACTGTGTGCTACTTTCCTTACCTAATGTCAGTGTGCTGCCTTTGACCTGGAAGTAAAACATAAGCGTTTTCTAAAGTTCCTAGCCCTCCAAGGTGCAGTAGGCGTTCAGCATGTGTTTGAAACTAGTAAAGAACAGACCCATCAGAAACCTCAACGAGCACCAAGTGTGAGAAAAGTCAACATAGCATTTGTAAAGGGAAATCGTGCCTTGCCAGTGCTCTCTAGTGAACTCGGGGCGAAGGCATCAGTCTCTGGAGCACAGCATGGTGGGCTCGAGCTCACCCTGATTGAAAAAGTAGGGAAGAAAGGATAGGAATAAATGGGCTGGTTTCACCGTGGAAAAGTCAACCAGGATTCTCCTCAGGGATCAGTGCTGATCCACATAATCATAGATCATTTAGAAAAGGGGTAAAACAATGAGGTGACGAAGTTTGTAGGCAATATAAAATTACTCAAGCTAGGTTAAGTCCAAAGCAAACTGCCGATGGGGGGGGGGGGTCTCCCTAAACTGGGTGGCTGGACAACAAAATGGCGGATGAGGGTGAACATAACTGCAAAGTAATGCACTCTGGAAAACAATCTCAGCTCTACATGGGGTTAAAATGAACTGTTGCCACTCAAAGAGATATTGGAGACGGTTCTCTGAAAATGTCGGCTCAGCGTGCAGTAGCAGTCAAAAATGCTCATAAATAGTTGAGAACAATGAGACCAAATACAGCACCATTATTTCAGTGTATGGTATGCCCACACCTTAAATCCTGCATACGGTTCTGATTGCCCCATCTCAAGAAAGATACGTTGCAATTGGGAATCATACAGAGCAGGACACCAAAAATGAGGGGGCACGGAATAGCTCCCATCTGAAGAGAGAGCTCAGAGCTGTGGCCTACTGTGGACATTCTCACGTGTAGGATTTGTAAGCCATGAAGGAGGTACAGCCAGAGAGAAGTTGCTTCACTTGCTCTTGAAATGCCGCCACGCCCTTGGGTGGAACATGGCGTCTCTTCTGCTAATGATGCAATAGAACGTTTTAAGAGGCAAAGTGGCAAATAATATGACCGAAGAAGACAAAGCTACAGGAACTAAAAGTGAAGTAGCCAGGAAAGTGGGGGTAATAGCCTTATTCTTGCAGGTCCAAGGTTTATCCTGAAGGTACATGAAGGTGCTCTGGACTTTGCGCATCAGCCAAAAGCTTGCAAAGCTGTAGGCATTGTGTTCTATCCCCTCACCGATTCTGAACAAGCTCTGATGCACTGTCTATTACTGCGTAGCCAGAACCACTTTTCCCAGGAGAGTTTCTCATTCTCTATTTTCAAGGGCCATTTCTACTTGGGCCCTGAGGTTTCACATGACTCTGGACTGCAGCTGCAATATCACATGCTTAATTTTCATAGATTAAGTAAAAGCACAACCAATTCTTACAGGCAGTGATAAAGGCAGAACAGAATGGCAGAAGTTGCCTGCTTTGTGTCCTGTCTGATGGCGCTGACAGCCTCCCTTTGCTCCAATGCAGGGAAAAAAGCGAAGTCAGGTCACTAGGCTCCAGAGCCTTGGTCCAGCCTGACTTGCCTAAATGGTGCTGGGGTATCGACTCCTCTGGGCTGTTAAGATTAGATGTGACTGATCTGCCGTGGCAGTGAGTGCCCAACAGTGGTGGAACAGGGAGGGTGGCGGGGTAGCATCTCAATGGAGGGGATGGGCCAGTGGAGTCTGGGGAAGCACACAGGACAGTTGGGGGTGCATGGAATGGCTGAGACATACAGGCATAGCCAATCTGGGGCAAGGCGTGTCCGGGCCCCTGCACGGTAAATGAATGCTCCAGCTGCTGGGGTACAGCAGGGTCCTGGACGTGGGGCGGGGCTAGGAGGGGGGGATGGGGCAGATGGGGTTGCTGGGGTACAGCAGGGTCCTGGACGTGGGGCGGGGCTAGGAGGGGGGGATGGGGCAGATGGGGTTAGAATGGGTTCGTGTCCCAGTGGAGGTAGATGGGGCGGGGCTAGCGGCAG